GTAATGCTCTAGGAGTGCACATAACTGCCCGGGCTGCTATATTCTGTACCAACTGAAGCATCTGGGTATTCTTCAGGGGCAGCATCATGTAGGGCACATTGCTATAGTTCAACCTGGAGGTGACTAGGACATGATGACTGTAAGTGGGACTTGGTGACCTAGGAATGGGTGCAACTGGCCATGAATGGATGAAGCTGTGTGAAGGCCCTCCTAGCCACTACTGCCACCTACTCATCCAGCAGGAGTTGTGAGTTTAAGGTGACTGCCAGATTGTGTACTACTCTGTCTGGAGTAGTGCAATCCACATCCAATACCAAAGATGACATATTCCTGAAATCACTGAGCACCAAAGCCACTCAGCCTTGCCAGGGTTCAGCTGAAGCCTGGGGACTCTCACCACCCCAACACCAGGATAAGACAGCCATGGCATCACTTAATTCACCAGGGGTAGAAATATATAAATGAGTATCATCAGTATATAGATGATATCTCAACCTATGCCAATGGATAGATGTCATCCCATGGCCTCAAATAGATGTTAAAAAGAAGAGCATAAAGCACCAAGCCCTCTGGCAGTCCACATAGTAGGGGCTGAGGGCAGGACCTCTCCTCACCAACAACAGTAACAATCCCAACTGATCCTTGTAATTGTCCAAACAGTGCTAGATGGTGTAGTTTTTCCATATACTCCAGAAGCAGAACTTAATCTTAGAATGAACCAAAGATTCAAACTGGTTTTGGTCCTAGAAGCTTTTTTTAAATATATTTATACTTAAAATATATAATTTGCCTATGTTCGCTTAAGTCTGTGTGTGAAATGTTACCTACCTTTCATTGCTTTACTAAGACCATCAAAACAACTTGGTTAAAGTACAAAAAATAATAGACCTCTGTTTGTCCTGTGCTGGGTTTCCCTAGGACAGGGGTCTTCAAACTTGGCCATTTTCTGACTTGTGGACTTCAACTCCCAGAATTCCTCAGCCAGCGTGCCTGGCTGAGGAATTCTGGGAGCTGAAGTTCACAAGTCATAAAAGGGCCAGGTTGGAAGACCCCTGCTCTAGGATATCTGGATCCTCATTTGCATTTGCTGAAGGCTTATTATGCTAAGATTCAACAGATGCAAAGAGAAAATGGGAAAAGCTAAGTGAATTTCCTATCATGTACTTTAACCCCATCAAGTCCTTAAAAAAAAGAATAGTTAGGTAAATATTAGATATCTAGAATTTCTGTACACCCAGATTCAGGTGGTCAAAAAAGTCAGTCACGTGGGTATAAAGCCCTGCATTTTATGCATCACAAATGCCACATGTCCAACCCATGTAAAAATGAGTGGAGTTTTGATTACATGATTGTGGATGCCATCTTGATGTTTTGAACACATCTGCAGACATTCCTGCCCAGATTCATCCAGGCAACTTCAATTTGCGGGGTTTCTAGTGTTGAATTACAAATAGCCAATATTATATTCCTCCTTGGCCATGGAACTTTGTAGATACGTTAGGTTATTGTACTGGTTTCATATATATGAAGTACAGCTATATATATATTCCAATTATTTTACTTAGAGTCCTGCTCCCTTTGCATAAAGATTACACAAATTCTTTGTAAACAGCATGCCTTTATTTTTATTTTCTGAACATTTTTCTTGTTGAATGTATTCTGCACAAAAATACAATTTAGCAGGTACTTCAATGCCATGCAGTAAAATTACTGAAGGAGCAAACAACAAAACAGACCAAATCATGCATAGTTCAGACATGAAAGATAGATATCATTGTGGCAGAAAATCTTTCAATTTTTCAATAAACTACAAAATGGATTTATTCCCCCCCCTTCCCTAATGATACTAGTTCATCAGTTTCTATCTTATTCCACTAACCCTCAGTTCAAGCAATCAAAATTTCACCCCTCTTCCCTGAGATATTAGCATGTTCCATGTGCTTCTTTTCAGCTGTATCAGAACTGAAATATCATTTGTTCTAGCTTTGGCATGCAGAATCAGTCCTCCTCCTCAAAAACAGCTACTGCATAATGTCCAGCTGGAATGTACACAGCAGTTTCTACCTCTCCTCCACCCTTGCTTTGCTTCTGGAAATGGATCTCCAAAGCTTCACACATCAGCTCCCTCCCTAAGACATCTGGAATCTCTGTCAGCAGGACGGTACGAGCACAGAAAGAAGGATGAAGCTGAGGTGGAGAGAAAAAATGGAGGTTGGTGAACAAATGCCACAGTTGAAGATAAATATAAAGCCAAGAACAAGTTGTTAAAACAAAAACAAGATTCAAAAGATTTTGGTTTATGGATTGGCTAGTCAGTGTCCTCTCCTTTACATTGGGGTTTTTCATATGAGAGGGTTGAATATCCAATTCATATGCATGATAGGCCCATTCTACAGTAATTCTAATGGACCACAGAATGTCTTTTAAATTCTTCAACTGGCATCAATATGGAAAGATACCTATCACATTTGCATTACACAATTAAATGTATGGGTCTTATGGAATCATTTTTGCTCAACTTTTGAAAAGAGTTTTAAGCTGAGCTAAGGGAAACCTTTTCTTCTTCTCCTTCATATACCATTTTTCTGTGGAATTATTGCTGCTATAATGTATCAGAATTTTGGTGTTGAGAAGGAAAATCTCTCTCAAATTAGGGCCAGAGATGGCTATTGTTTAGGGCAGAGCCTCCCTAAGAATAGTCTGTTTCTGTGTCAAGAACTGCATGTATAAAAGGTCAGAGTTTCAGTTGTGAAGTTGCACCTGCTTTCTTGTAGCTTTTGACCCTTTTGATTCTAGAGAAACTCATGCCCCCAAAGGTGATGTGGCTCCCATAAATCTTCAAACATTTGATGCCAGGTTTTAATTTTTACAATGAGAGAGAAAGAAAATGATTCAATATATGACTGGCAAGTAATCATGTGAATGATATATATTTTGAATTAAAGTTAAACATAAATGAAACTAAATTTCCTTCTGCCCCACCCATTACTTTTGGAAAACAGTTACCCTCATCACTGTAATTTTTGGATGGGGGAGCATAGTTTGCTTTGTTGCTGTTGTTTAATTGCGAAGTCGTGTCCGACCCATCGCAACCCTATGGACATGTTCCTCCAGGCCTTCCTGTCCTCTACCATCTTCTGGAATCCATTTAAGTTCACGCCTACTGCTTCAGTGACTCCATCCAGCCACCTCATTCTCTGTCGTCCCCTTTTTCTATTTCCCTCAATCTTTCCCAGCATTAGGCCCTTCTCCAGTGAGTCCTTCCTTCTCATTAGGTGGCCAAAGTACTTGAGTTTCAACTTCAGGACTTGGCCTTCTAAAGAGCAGTCGGGGTTGATCTCTTCTAGGACTGACAGGTTTGAACGCCTTGCAGTCCAAGGGATTCGCAGGAGTCTTCTCCAGCACCATAGTTCAAAGGCCTCAATTCTTTGTCGCTCAGCCTTTCTTATGGTCCAATTTTCACATCCATACATTGCAACTGGGAAAACCATGGCCTTGATTATACGTATTTTTGTTGGCAGGGTGATGTCTCTGCTTTTTAGTATGCTGTCTAGATTTGCCATAGCTTTCCTCCCCAGGAGCTTGCTTTAGGAGAGGAGAATGCAGTGTGTCTCTGTCAATGTTTTCCCCTCACCTTTAAATCTGCAATTTCCCCATGTAAGCAATGTGATGCCTTGATCTGATGGGTCTCCTTTCCAAGCGGCACCTGGAACAGCCCTTTTTCAACAATCCGCTGAGCCACTGTAAGAGAGGAAAAAGCCTGTGTTTGAAATCTGTAACAGGACCTGTTCCCCACATATTTGTACTGGTGCAAGACGAAGCACATTCTACAGATAACAAAACACAATGCTGCTGGGTTTATTTCAGTTTTCTGCCCACCTCTTTCCACTTAGAAGGAAAATAAATCTGCTTGCATGGAGAAGTAAAGCAGAAAGAAAAATGGAAAAACATGCTAAAAAAACCTAAATGCTTATGGGATGTTCAAACAAAAATGCTGAAATTAAAAAGGTTTCAAGAATTACTAAACGTTGTAATGTTCTAAAAAAAATAGATAAAATTAGAAATACTCCAGTTCACCTGTCTCATGAAGAAGATTAACCAAACAAATTTTTAAAAGTATTAAACTTAAGAGACATTGAATAAGATGGAGTGTAGTGAGCAAGGGAAAAGTTAATAAAATACAAGGAATGAGATTTAAAGTGAGGAAAGGAAGTCATTCTCATACTAAATAATACAACACTGCAGAACTACACGTAGTCCTTGTTTAGCAATTGCCTTGTTTAATGACCATTCAAAATTACTATGGTGGTGAAAAAGTAATTTTATCACCAGATCCTGCATTTAAAACTAAAGAAGCTCTGTAAAGAAAAGGAAAACTGAAGTAAAATCATAAGCACAGTGGTGGTTTCACTTACAACGAAGCTGCCAGTGATCGCTAAACAAAGACTATTTGTAATTACTATAGGATAATGCAGGGGCTGCAGTACTAGTGATTGTTTTAAAAAAGGGTTATGATAAAGATGCAGAGAGAATCTATTGATGGCTCAAGACTCCGAAACTAGAAAATTTCCTGTTCCACGCTCTAACCAAGAGTGGATGGCGGCTCTTACAATTCTCAATCTGCCCTTGTGTGCTTCATTGGAAGTATCTTAGGACGAATACAGAATCATTGTTAAATCCAGGAGATAATATAACCATGAGACTCAATTTGTGGAAGGAATATTACTCTCCCCAAGACACATGATGCACATAATCTCCCTTTTATCACATTTTCTCTTACCCCCATCATCCACAAAAGTCAGCACTATATTATCTGAATTTGTGAGCTGTTCCCAATGATCCACCTCACCCCCTTGGTTCTTCCGTTTGCTGAAAAACAGAGCTAGCTTGTCGTAGAGCTGGTCTTTGGGTACAGAGAAGGCAGACAATCCAGATAATAGCACTTGCTGGGAACTCTGCTTCAGGGAGATCTGCTGGGGACAGAAGGGGAAAAGTGTTGAGAAAGTAGAATTGTAACAATAGTATAGCATTATTATTGTTGTTGTTGTTGTTGTTGTTGTTGGTCACACAGTCAACCAGATGTTCAGACTGGATTTAATATTTTTGTCTACCTATCAAGTTCTTTCTAAGGACCTGGGACAGGCAGATCTGGATGTTTGATGGTGTTACAAATATCATCACAGGATGTAAGCTGTTCCAAGTAAAGCTGCCTTTTATTGATTGACTGATGGTGAATTTGTCAATGCTGATTATGTTTGTCATTTGTTGTTGTTATTGTTGTTGTTATTGTCTGTTGCACAGTTGGCCAGATTTTCAGACTAAATTTGGCATTTTTGTCTACCTATCGAGTTCTTTCCAAGGACCTGGGATAGGCAGATCTGGATGTTTGATGGTGTTACAGATATCGTTGCAGGCTGTAACCTGTTCCGAGTAAAGCTGCCTTTCGCAATTGACTGATGATGAATTTGTCAATGCTGATGATGTTCAAGTAGTACTCCAGTTGTTTTGCGATTGCACCCAAGGCATCTATTACTATTGGTACTAACTTTGCTTGCTTTTGCCACCGTCTTTCTATTTGTAAGTCTTTCTATTTGGTTATTGTTTCCAGTTCTTTCTCTTCTATTCTACTGCAATGTTCACAATTCAGACTTTTTTGTCTTTCTTCTCAACAATGGTTAAGTCTGGGGTGTTAAGTGGCAAGTGCCTGTCTGTCTGAATTCTAAAGTCCCAGAGCAATTTAGCTTCTTTATTTTCTATGACTTTCTCTATTTTATGGCCCATCAGTTCTTGTTTGCAGGCAAATGATATTTCTTGCAGATCTTCCAATGCACCATTGTTGCTACTTTGTCATACCGCTGCTTACAGTCAGTCTGGGTGACCATCTTGCAGCAGCTTACCAGGTGGTCCACTGTTTTTTCAGCTTCCTTGCATAAACGGCACTTACTGTCTTTTGCTGTCTTCTCACTTCTGGCTTTGTATGGATCTATTCTTAAGGCTTGTTCAGCCAGAATTTGTCCCACGGTCTCTTTCTTCAACTTTCCTGCTCTTAGCTATTGTCAGGTCTTGTTATTATTTGCTTTCCCTGCTATTTTTTTTTTTTATGTACTGGCCATGTAGTGTTGTTGTTGTTGTTGTTATTATTATTATTATTATCATCATCATCATCATCATCATCATCATCATCATCGCTGTTGTTTTGTCTTGCCTTAATAGGGATTTTTTACAGCTTAAGAAAACAAAAATAAAAATAAATGTTAACTGGTTATAGAAGAATGTAAAGCAAGGGAATACCGTAACTTCTCTGCTCTCCAGAATGATATTTTCAAACAGTGATAGCTGATCATTTAAGAAAGTACAATGTGGAATGAAGCATACAATTCAGTTTTCAGTCTAAAGTTTCATTTGATTTGACTCCCTGCATCCTTGAAAGATGGGCAGCCCCAAATGAAACAGCAGATGCAGAAAAAAGATAAGAATGGATTTTCAGTGTTTGGACCAAGGCTTTAATGCTCAGTGCCTTGGCTTTCTCCATAAATAATACATGGAAAATAAGTTACCAAAAATTAAAATTCAAACAAGTTATGCAAGTGATAAGGAAAGTATGTCTTTGCAGTTTGAAAATTCAAGGGGAACATTTTTGCTTTATTTTTTTTTTAACTGCTAGCCGTCTTTTTTTCAAACACCTACATCTCACCATGTGATTAGATGTACCTGATAACATTCCCTCTTCAACTCATTTATTACGGGACTGAAACAATAAAAAAAGATCAGTTGGGATCTCTTTAATCACAGATTTAGGTAGATGGGATGAGAAGACAATGAGAAAACAGTATTACTTGCAGTTAGAGTCCCTTTCTACATTAAACCCTCCAATGCGTGCATTCCTCCATGATCAAAGGCTACAGAACTCACCTTTAAGAATGAGGGCAGCAACAATGTCATAGCTTCAGCCTTCACGTGCACATAGCTCCATTCATCTAGCTGAATGCAATGCTGTCCCATTTGGATGATCCTCCTGGCAACTGATGGGGAGAAGTCAGGGATGAGACATATTCAAACCAAACCAGTCTCTTCTATCTGCATCTCTTGTGTCAGTTCAACAAGCCCTACCTAACTTCCTTATTCAGAATTTTTGGACCATCTAATCGCTTGAGTGAGTATGGAGGATTTGGGGTTCTTTACCAGTGAATTCAATATAGGATGGAATGAAAAAAATCAGTTTCTAAAAAAGTACATAATGGTAGTACCAAAAGTATAAAAGAGAGGGCTCATGAAGTTGGAAATTGTGCTTTAAATACATTTTCCTTTGTGGATTCTCTTTTTTTTTAATCTTTGGAAAATACCTGGATCACTGTGCAAGACCAAGCAATGGTGCCCAGGACCTGTAAAGGGGTCACTGCACTGATCAAAATATCCCTCCCAAATTCTCTAACGGCACTCAATCCTAGTTCTTACTGAAATTTGCAGATTGTTTCTGTATTTTAGGTAAGATCATTTCCTCTGAATAGACAATAAGTTGTTTGAATGAAAAGCTACAATGCGCCATTTGTACAAGCAGGAGAGCTTTTCTTCTTATTATTTTTTGTTTTGGTATAGAGAAATATCACCAAAGTAGACACTGGTTGAAATGATACAAATCAGATTAAGAGAGCTATTAAAATCCATGCGATACTTCTCTTTTATTTCTTCCGCTTAATATTTTTCTCCGATTTTAAAAGAATGAGCTTTACTACTTAAGGCTAAATAAAGACTCCATGGCAAAGTAAGTCTGAACTAATAACTTAATTGATCTGAAGTCAACATAAATCATGTTGTGCTTACAGTTTTTTAACCCCCCCGCTCCAAACTAGTTCCTATTCTTTACTTCCACTGTGAATCACAACTACATGCTGCTGATAAAAAGAACCAGAATGTCATTTTTGAAGTGTTGTTCCTACCTTCAGGATCCTCAAAAGTGATGAGAGCTGATCCCCCAAGTACAGGGTATCGGATCTGGGGCACGAAAGTCAGCATTTCTGGAAAGCTGTCCATCTTTTCCTTTTCCACATGACCCTTAAACACCATTTCTCTGTTAGGAAGAGCAGCTGGCATCTGGGCAATGCAAAGTTGTATACATTTAACAAAGAATCTTGAGACATTGTCCCCTATGCAATAGGTTTACTTGTTCCTTGAGTGCTAGCACACAAATTGGGACTCAAGACACAAAAGTAACTCACCAAATGTTTTAGCCTCCTGAGTTGGTTCATAAGGCAGAAAATGTGACTGACATACATGTCAAGTCCCAATAAATGGTTATTGGGATGACTTCATCGATAGATATTAGATTTCTATACTTGAGATTTTTTTTTAAGAAACAATGATGTAAAATAGTAATATTCTAAATATAGCAACCCCTTCATGGATTACTGCCTTGTCATGGCGAAGGGGCTTGCGTAATTCAATGAAGCTATGAGCTATGCCGTGCAGGGCCACCTAAGAGGGACAGGTCATAGCAGAGAGTTCTGACAAAATGTGATCCACTGGAGAAGGAAATGGCAACCCACTACAGTATCTTTGCCATGAAAACCCCATGGACAGTACCAAAAGGCAAAAAGATATGACGCTGGAAGATGAGCCCCTCAGGTCGGAAGGTGTCCAATATGCTACTGGGGAAGAGCAGAGGGCTAGTACTAGTAGCGCCAGAAAGAGTGAAGTGACTGGGCCAAAGCCGAAAGGACGCTCAGCTGTGGATGCATCTGGTGGTGAAAGGAAAGTCCGATGCTGTAAAGATCTTTTCTCCATGGGAACCTGGAATGTAAGATCTATGAATCAAGGCAAACTGGACGTGGTCAAACAAGAGATGACTAGACTGAACATCGACATCTTAGGAATCAGCGAACTAAAATGGACAGGAATGGGTGAATTTAACTCAGATGACCATCAGGTATACTACTGCGGGCAAGAATCCCTCAGAAGAAATGGAGTAGCCCTCATAGTCAATAAAAGAGTCGGAAAAGCAATACTGGGATACAATCCCCAAAATGACAGAATGATCTCAGTGCAAATCCAAGGAAAACCATTCAATATCACAGTAATCCAAGTCTATGCCCCAACCACTGGTGCTGAAGAGGATGAAATTGACCGGTTCTATGAAGCCCTACAGCACCTTAGAGAATCAACACCAAAAAATGATGCCCTTATCATCATGGGGGATTGGAATGCTAAAGTAGGAAGCCAAAAGATAAACGGAATAACAGGCAAGTTTGGCCTTGGAGTACAAAATGAAGCAGGGCACAGGCTGATAGAATTTTGTCAAGAGAATACGATGGTCATAACAAACACTCTTTTCCAACAACCCAAGAGATGGCTCTACACATGGATGTCACCAGATGGTCAACACAGAAATCAGATTGACTATGTGCTCTGCAGCCAAAGATGGAGAAGCTCTATACAGTCAGTAAAAACAAGACCAGGAGCTGACTGTGGCTCAGATCATGAGTTTCAAAATTGCAAAATTTAAACTTAAATTGAAGAAAGTAGAGAAAAGCACTAGGCCACTCAGGTATGAACTAAATCATATCCCTGATGAATATACAGTAGAGGTGACAAATAGATTTAAGGAATTATATCTGATAGACAGAGTGCCTGAAGAACTATGGACGGAGATTCGCAACATTGTACAAGAGGTAGCAACTAAAACCATCCCAAAGAAAAAGAAATGCAAGAAAGCAAAATGGCTGTCTGAGGAAGCTTTGCAAATAGCTGAGGAAAGAAGGGAAGCGAAAGGCAAGGGAGAAAGAGAAGGATACACCCAATTGAATGCAGAATTCCAGAGAATAGCTAGAACAGATAAGAATACCTTCTTAAATGAACAGTGCAAAGAAATAGAAGAAAACAATAGAATAGGGAGGACCAGAGATCTCTTCAAGAAAATTGGAGATATGAAGGGAACGTTTCATGCAAAGATGGGCATGATAAAGGAACAAAATGGCAGGGACCTAACAGAGGCAGAAGAGATTAAGAAGAGGTGGCAAAATTACACAGAAGAACTATACAAGAATGAGCTTAGCATCCCTGATAACCACGATGGGGTGGTCACTGACCTCAAGCCAGACATCCTAGAATGTGAAGTTAAATGGGCCTTAGGAAAGCTGAGCAACAACAAAACTAGTGGAGGTGACAGTATTTCAGCTGAGCTATTCAAAATCTTAAAAGGCGATGCAGTAAAAAATGCTACACTCAATTTGCCAGCAAATTTGGAAAACTCAACAGTGGCCACAGGATTGGAAAAGGTCACTTTACTTCCAATTCCAAAGAAAAGCAATGCCAAAGAATGTTCAAACTAACTTACCATTGCACTCATTTCACATGCAAGTAAAGTTATGCTTAAAATCCTACAAGCTAGACTCCAGCAGTATGTGCATCGAGAACTTCCAGAAGTACAGGCAGGATTTCGAAGAGGCAGAGGAACTAGAGATCAAATTGCCAACATATGCTGGATCATGGAGAAAGCGTTCCAGAAAAACATCTACTTCTGCTTCATTGACTATGCTAAAGTCTTTGATTGTGTGGATCACAACAAATTGTGGCAAGTTCTTAAAGCGATGGGAGTACCAGACCATCTTATTTGTCTCTTGAGAAACCTATATGCAGGTCATGAAGCAACAGTGAGAACTGGACACGGAACCACAGATTGGTTCAAAATTGGAAAAGGAGTCAGGCAAGACTGTATTCTGTTGCCCTGCCTATTTAACTTATATGCAGAGCACATCATGAGAAAGGCAGGGCTAGATGAATCAAAAGTTGGAATTAAGATTGCCGGAAGAAATATCAACAACCTAAGATATGCAGATGAATGGCAGAAAGTGAAGAGGAACTAAAGAGCCTCTTGATGCAGGTGAAGAAGGAGAGTGCAAAATTTGGCTTGAAAATCAACATCAAGAAAACCAAGATAATGGCATTCGGCCCTCTCAATTCCTGGCAAATAGATGGGGAAGAAATAGAGGTAGTGAGAGATTTTATCTTCCTGGGCTCCAAGATCACCGCAGATAGGGACTGCAGCCAAGAAATTAAAAGACGCTTGCTCCTGGGGAGGAAAGCTATGGCAAATCTAGGCAGCATACTAAAAAGCAGAGACATCACCCTGCCAATAAAAGTGCGTATAGTCATGGCCATGGTTTTCCCAGTTGAAATGTATAGCTGTGAACGTTGGACCATAAGAAAGGCTGAGCACAAAAGAATTGAGGCCTTTGAACTATGGTGCTGGAGAAGACTCTTGCGAGTCCCTTGGACTGCAAGGCGATCAAACCGGTCAGTCCTATACCGGTCAGTTCTTCTATACCTTTCCATATACCCTGTTTCAATGCTAGTTTCAGTAACTCCATTTGATTGTTGATACGCACTTTTCTAAATGCAAACATTCCACAGAGTTGTATAAGGGTGTTACAGTGCTGGCAGTTATGGAATTTGCCTTTTTCACTAATGGGTATGCTAAATGAACATCTTCATTAAATTACTACTAAATGTCATTAAATTTCATTATGATTAGACATAGAAACACAAATCTCATTAGTTTATTTATGAAGTGAGAGTGTTACTTTGATGTAAATTCACTTTTCACTTACTTAAATTGTACTATTTGACCATTCATCTAGTTTAGAGAGATCCTAATGGAGCCCTTCGCCATCATTTATTTTTCACCTGAATTTTGTGGTGTATCAGCAAACCTGATACACTATCATGTATTAAGAGAATTATCTTATATCAAGATAATTATAAACTGTATATACTGTATAAGTAGAAAGATCCTTTTTTATTATTTGGATCCCATCTTTTTTTAAAAATTATTTTTACAAATAATTCAAGGTGGCAAACCAAGCCCACATACCTATTTTCCCCACAAAAACAACCCTGTGAGGTGACTGGCCCAAAGTCACCTAGCTGGCTTTCATGGCTAAGATAGGACTTGAACATACAGTCTCCTGGTTTCTAATCTCATCCTATATCAATCTGTAACTCATCTATAAGCTAAGAAGTCCTAGAGGAGATCAACCTTGACTACTCTTTAGAAGGCCAGATCCTGAAGCTGAAACTCAAGTACTTTGGCCACCTAATGAGAAGGAAGGACTTAATGGAGAAGAGTCTTATGCTGGGAAAGATTGAGGGCAATAGAAAAAGGGGACGACAGAGAATGAGGTGGCTGGAAGTCACTGAAGCAGTAGGTGTGAGCTTAAATGGACTCCAGAAGATGGTAGAGAACAGGAAGGCTTGGAGGAACATTGTCCATGGGGTCGCGATGGGTCGGACATGACTTCGCAACTAACAACAACAAAATATAGCAAGTATAGATGAAAAAGTTTATAATTATTTGTAGATGCACAGTGCAAGAGGGGGAATTTACGAGATTGATTTGAGACATATTTCTCAACATTCAGCCAGGGTGGGGTTGATTCTATTTAATGTTGGTTTTATTTATGTTGTGCACATTTTTATTATTACTTTCTTTTTTGTCTTGTCTGTAATTTTTGTCTTTCTTTTTATTATCTTTGTAGTTGTTTATTTTATATGTAACATCTTATCTTTGAGATAAATACAAAAATGTAATAGAAAAAAAAAGTGGTTTGGAGAATTCCTCCAAATGGAGAAATCTGAAAAAAGAATTCTGGCTGAGGTTTTGAATAATTTGTATAGCTTTGGGCCAAATCTTGCCTATGGGAATTTAAATAAAATAATATGTTTTTGCAGATACCTTAAGAATTTCTTCCTGGGCTGCATGGAGCTGTTTCAATTCATATTCCAATGCCTGTTTTTCTTGCATTAGCTGGTTTGAATCCTTCTTTCCCAACTGAAGCATTTTCTGCAGAGAAGAAGGTAGACCACTAAATCAGAACAAGTGGCACTTCTTTGTCACTGGATGGCAGTCCAAACATGCACTACTGTTTTCTCTGAGAAAACAGACTACAATCTATCAACTTCTACAGCTACAGCATTGAAGTTGGCCTCTCCAGGGCTTCATCTTGTGACCAGAGGCCTGAGCTAGGGAATCTGTCAGGAACAATTTTGGAGATAATAGAATGTGGGAAACAATGGCTGTATTTGCCTCATACTTTGAACTACAAATTAACTAAGTACATTTTAGTTAAGTGTATTTTGCAAATTTAACTGTGTCCTTTATTGGCTTACTGGGTCCTGTGAACCTAAAAAACTGGGTTGAGCAAGCCATGATTAAACACAGGCAAGTGATTAAACACAGACTGGCATAGTTATTTGGAATATGAAGGTGGATCATGCTTTTCTGCTATTAAACAGAAGATGGCACATCTTCCCTGCTACAGGGCTGCAAAGTTTCATTTCTACATCAAAAATTATGACTTCTGATATATTCCGACTGGAATGTCTAGTTGCCATAAGTGGCATGGCATGGATTTTACCCAACTGTCTGCAAGCAAAAGCTTGCAATATGCATTGGCAATAACTGGGGAAAATTCTAATTTGTGCCAAAGTTCTTAAGAAAAATTCTAGAGATGATAAGATCAAGGTCTTAGAAGTCTCCACCTCAAATGTATTCATCCAGTGGCTGCAAGAAGAATTTTTTTTTTTTTTGTAAAATAAGCAACAATGTAAGGCTTAACTGAAACAATATAAGCATATAAATTACAACATCTAACTTCTTTCAGGCATTGTCAAAATGTTTCTTTTAAATTAAAAACGTACAGAGTCTATTTTTAAAATGTGGCACATTAGAGCTACTATAGTGGGCCTCATGTCCACATCCTGGAGATTTCTATAGGCAATCAGAAGTAATATAACGATGCAGTCAACATGTTCTTCCATTAAAAGTTTAAAATCAAAATTTACAGGAAAGTAAATATATAATTCTGGATTTAAAATGGTCAGACCTGAAAGGAGCCTTCCTGAGCCTTGGCCTCATTTTCAGCTTCAAGAAGATTTCGACTAAGAAGCTCATATTCTTCTTTGAATTTGGCCAAGTCCTGCTCACTTGCCCTTATGTTTGCCTCCAAGAATAAGCAATCTCCTTCAAAAGTTTTCCATATATCCTGAAGTTAAAAAGACAACCAAATGGCAATGAGAAATTTTCTCTCATGCTTAAACGGTGATAAAGTTAATTTAAGTGGACGGCTAAAGAGAATCTATTAAGAACAACACTATATTCCTGGTTCAACAAGAGGAATCAAACATGGAATATTAATGATGGGGCATGTCTAGTGAACCTCAATTGTTACCAAGCACTCAAACTTGACCTATAGGTAGGAGTGTAGATGAGGGTTTCCGAGGAATGACTGTATACCCACATATTTCATTCAAACCACTAAAGATAATCCTCTTCTCCAAATAAAATACCTGGCACCTCTTAATCTCATTCAAGATTTGGTCCATTGTCATCTTCCAAGGTCCACCTGCAGCAAAATTGTCACTAGCCAAGTGGATGAAGGACTCCTGTGGACCAAAAGAAGCTTCACAGCCTTCTTCCTACAAAGAAAATATAAAGATGACCACAAAGGAATGGGCAAGAGAGCTGAGGGGAAGGGAGAATTCTCCTCACGTGGAAGCATAAGAACATTTAAAAGGATGGGGAGAATAGTCATTGATACTTTAAAAGCCTTCATTTGTAATAACATAAAGGGTAAGCATTCTATAAGCCAATTCTACTATGAATAATTTATAGTGAAAGCTGTTTCCATCTCTCATGGTCATGAAGGAAACAAACAAATAAACAAACAAAAAACCCAATTCTTTTTTTCAAACACAATCACTGAATGTTTTTACGACAATTGTTACCAAACACATCATTATTTACAGATCTTTTGCACACTTCCTTATAAGCCAGGATCCATAACATGAATTTCTTGCAGGGTTTTCACTTTATTAATTATCTATAACTAATCAATCATTTGGCACTATCAAGTGACACTGGTTAGCAGTGCCAATTGACAACAAATTCAGGAAAAAATGAATACAAGAAGCTGTAGAGTGCCAGGGCCTAAAGGAGGAATTAGAAAGTATTTGGAAAGTAAAGGCCAAAGTGCTGCCAGTGTTGGTTAGGAGCATTCAAGTCTGTGACTCCTGAACTGGAATGGTTCCAACAGATCCCAGGAACAACATCAGAGCTCTCTCTCCAGAAGACTAACATGCTAGGAACAATTAAGATACAGTATTGTGCAGAACACTCAAACTCCCAGGCCTCTGGGAGAGGACCCAACATTGAGGAATTCCCTTCTCACACCTAGCGGTGGTATATGTCTTTCTAGCATAGATTGGATAGATAGATAGATAGATAGATAGATAGATAGGAGAGAGAGAGAGAGAGAGAGAGAGAGAGAGAGAGAGAGAGAGAGAGAGAGAGAGAGAGAGAGTCAGACAGACAGACAGACAGACAGACAGAGATGATAGGTAGGTAGATAGTAGGTAACTAAATATAAATGTTTCAGGGACAAGATTTTCTGGCTGTCCTGTGTTCCTTTCATCAAAACCTAAAAAATAACTAAGGTTGCCAGCAGAGTTTCCTAAAAAATAACCCAAGATCTTGCACTCAGATATAATAATAATAATAATAATAATAATAATAATAATAATAATAATAATAATAATAATAATAATAATAATAGTAAAGTTGGAAGGGACCTTGAAGGTCATCTAGTCCAACCCCCTGCTCAGGCAGGAAACCCTATACCATTTCGGACAAATGGCTGCCCAGTCTCTTCTTAAAAACTTCCAGTGTTGGCGCATTTACCACTTCTGGAGGCAGGTTGTTCCACTGGTTAATTGTTCTCACCGTCAGGAAGTTTCTCCTTAGTTCTAGATTGCTTCTCTCCTTGATTAGTTTCCACCCGTTGCTTCTTGTCCTGCCTCCAGGCACTTTGGAAAATAGCTTGACTCCCTCTTCTTTATGGCAGCCCCTGAGATATTGGAACACTGCTATCATGTCCCCCCTCGTCCTTCTCTTCATTAAACTAGGCATACCCAATTCCAGCAGCCGTTCCTTATATGCTTTAGCCTCCAGTCTCCTAATCATCTTTGTTGCTCTTCTCTGTACTCTTTCTAGAGTCTCAACATCTTTTTTACATTGCGGTGACCAAAACTGGATGCAGTATTCCAAGTGTGGCCTTACCAAGGCATTGTAAAGTGGTATTAACACTTCACGTGATCTTGATTCTATCCCTCTGTTAATGCAGCCTAGCACTGTGTTGGCCTTTTTGGCAGCT